GTATGAGTCATCCGATGTGCGCAGTCGGCCGGATGCGTCACCTGATGGGTGCAGTTGGAGGGGGCAGTCCGCCAATGACGTGGATGGTGCGAGCGGTGGGACTCAAAGACGCGTGGTTTTGCAACGCCAGGAGACGGAGATGACCCCAAAGTATGTTAAAACGTGACAGCAGAAAACTTGTGCAATCAAATGCAAGGTACGTCCCCATCGGCAACTCAACCGGTTGGAGAATCATTTGCACCTGAAGGGAACGTTGTGCAAAGCAGTAATGCACAGAATCCCTTCAGTCAAGGCTCAAAGCTCAGAACACAAAGTGCAATGATGTTTTTGTTAGGGTTGGTGCAAAGCACAAATGATGCACCAGTGCATGCAAGAAAGCACCAAGTTTATAAAAAAGATCGATTTCTTGGCGCGGAGGATTCTGCATGATCGGCTATGAGTAATTGCGAAGGAAAAATTTTGGTAGTAGTGTGGCGCAGTTCATAAAAGCTTAACCTTTTCAAGGGTCTCGCAGCTGGCATTGGGACATGTCCTGAAGTCATCGATATTGATTCGAGTTTAAAAGGGCAGGAAATGACCCGTGTTTTTCGTTGATGCCTGCATTGTCAATATCACTGCCCACCTAGGCATTGTCAATACCACTTCCACTACCACTACCCATACGTTTTTAGCGACCATGCCATGGTAAAGTGCGGAACGGTTACAGCGTCAGTGGCCAATGCCTGACTGGGAGAAAGACAAGAGGTTCGTAAGGCGGTGGGGAACCTTATTTTTACTTAGATTGAAAACAGTTTCGGCACGCTCAACGCCTGTGTTACAAAATGAAGAGATCAGGCATGCGAGCAAAGCTTCCTCATCTCATGTTTCGGAGAACGAGCAAAACATTGTGATGCTAACACGCAGTTCTTCAACAGGTTCTGGCCTACCTGGTACAGGGTCAGAACGTGGCAAAATTTCGACGTTGGAAAGAAAAACTGGTGGCAACTTGAAAAGCATCGTATGTCTACAGTCTGCTGCAACGTTACATGTCACTAATACAATTGCGGGCAGGTCTAATCTGTCAGCGCTTTGTACGTAAGTGCAGTAGATTTTGCTTCGTTAGGTCAGCGAATGAAACTTTGCTGGGGTTCAGCAATTTATCTTGAGATGTGACGTGCTCAAGGACCATCAGGTCTGGTTTAGATCTGTCCAGGATCTCCGAACCTAATAGAGGCGATGCCAACCTCGGTTACAGTGTTTACGCTGGGATTGTTTGTACGGCGTTACAAACTACTCTGTGCAATAACGGGGTGCCTGGTCAAGCTGTCCAAAGACGCGCGGTTGGCTGCTCAAAAGCTGCGCATGGTAATATGCCAAGTGGGAGGGTGACCGGAACTATGGCATCATCCCCGAGCAATGGGCCGTATCGCTTTATTGTTCACGGATCGGCACATGCCACACATACGCCTACTGCTTAAACAACTCGCGCTCCTAGGAGTGGTGCCAGGTGTAAGCGTTAGTTGGTCGATTAGTTGACGCGGTTGGAGACATCTCTTATTTTGCCAAAAGTTTGTTCTGCCCTACCGCGTATGCTCGGCGCAAAAAGGACGTGTTTGGTACCGCCCTCGTTAAAATCGCCATTTTAGGCCGGGATGCTCCTTGAGGTGTTTGCTTTCCCGCCCTTTTTGTGCGACTCCACCCGAAGTATTAGATAAATGGAGTAAGGGGGTGGCGGGAAAATGTTTGGTAATGGCGCGCTAACAGCAGTCGAGGCAAAACACCGTAGAGTAAAGGTGGGTAAGGGAGTGATGGCAAATGTTTATTGTTTACGCTCGTATTAGCCGGGGTTTAGACTGTGCAATGATTGTTTTTTATGCACAGGGGAGGGTAGCTTAGGGACTGTAATGTGTTGGTGAGGTTACCTCGCGCATCTATTTTACGCTTTTGGGCCTTTATATCATTGTGTATCGGGTATTTCTTCAAGTTATTTGGCGCTGTGTGTTTGAGGCAACAAATACTTAGTATTCCAGCTGTTGTGGGTAAACAGGACTTTCAGCCTCGTTCGTTTGCGGGGTTGCCTTACCGATGTCTTCCAGGGCGAGTGATAGTGGTAGCGTGACTGAATCTTACGTATGTAGCCAAAACTTTTCTAATCGAATTGTCAAATTTTCTCTAACAAAATTCTGGGGATTTACACAATTTCTGCGAAATTGCGTTGTAGCTGTATGCTGTGTAAACATCGGCTCGGTGAGAGGGGAGGACGGCTCATTTGGCCCCCTCCTTGGCTACGTTCCTGCGGGCCACGTAGGTATGCAGCTTTGGACGTGGTGTCTATAAACTGGCGCTGGTAATTCTATTCTCAGTACTGATTGCCATTTCGTGTATACTGTAAAGATATCGAAAATATACGACCACTCAGAGAACCTGTGTATTGGACCACCCTGCAGGTGACGCGGCGATGCGCCGGGAGATACGCGCAGCTCTGGTATTTGGCGATGCATGGGCATTGGCGGACTGGAGGCAACACCTCCCAGGCTGACATCGAGTTCTGCGGTGGAAGCGAGCGCACCCCTTTCTGCACCAGATTCCGTACTGACATGCCAATGAAATGGAGAGCATCAAATACGAGCGAATGTTTTTTCCCATTACTTAACCTAAATGGTCCTCATGTCAACCGTGTCATCTGCACCACGCGACTGGCTGCAGAGACGTGTTTTTCGCAAGATGAGTTGGGGTGGGGGGGGGGGGGTTAAACGGTTAAAAATGACGCAACCTGCCTCAAAGCACGCCAATAAACGGGTTTCTCCACGGCTTCGGCTTACTTTTGCCCCAATACTGGGGGGATGGGGCTAAGTTGGGGGAGGGAAGGGCCTAAAGGACGCATCCCCTCAACTGAATCGGAAACTACACCTCTGACTGGATTCCGTTGAAACATGATGGTGACCGTAGGCTAAATTTATTCACAAACAGAGTGTCATTTGTAGCAGCTGTGTTATTCAATAGTTCAAACCACTAACATGCAGTGCAATGCTTTAGCCTCCAGCACGATCGTGGCCCACTGCTACGCTGTTTCTTGCGTGCGATGTGGCGAACCAATGTGGAGCGTAGCTTGGACCTCGGTCTACACAGATCTTGGAGGGTGCGTCTGCTTCCCACAGCGAGCACACAAATACTTTTAAGGTTTAACAACATTTGAAACAGCAGTGGGGCATGGGCTGCAACCACACCTGGCGCAACGTCACACTACTCACGCCTACCTTGTCGCTCTTCGGTTACGATCCATTAACCCCCTCCCCTCCTACCAAATAAAACAACCGCAAGGTTTCGGGGACAGTCCTGCGGACTCGCGCCAAATGCGTGCGGAACAGCTCAGTATTTCGCCTAAACCTCTTGGCTCGGGGGGGGGGGTACGGCCCCTTGGCTACATC